CAAATGATGCAATTCGATGAAGCGCAATTGTAACCACTCTGAATTGTTTAAGGCTTCACGTGTTGCAATAGGGAGTTGGAAAAAGCGATGAAATCTGCCGCCGTACAAGGTAGCAGTCTCCTTCATGCGGCTGATGCAGTCCAAAAGAATGCCGAAAAAGCGCTGGGTGGCAAATTCGAAACTGTCGTATCGCTGGATGATTTCGCCTATAAAAGTCATTTTAAGGTTCGCGTCAATAAGTCATCATTTTATGCATGAAGCAACTCAGCCACATTGAAACAATTACTATTCGTTATTCGTATGGTCCATGTCACTTCTATTATAATTATGAAAACGATTCAAGTGGCCAAAATCATTCAATTTTTAGAGTCTCGTCATAATCTCAAGCGTCATTTTCATACCTGTACCTGGTAATTCATGCTCTTCCGAGTATATGTTGAGAATTCGATCCCTGAAATCGAGTATTCTAATTGAGTCGAGTTTCAGGAAGGCAAAACGTGTAAAATTGAAAAAAATGGTAAATATGCTCTCGCCTGGCAGCCGTGATCCAACGGATGCTGGCCGTCTCTTTCTACATGATTGTTTTCAGATGGTTAATCGGCGAATACGTTTGCACTGTTCAAGTTTCTCTGAATGTTCGAAGAATTTTGCTTCCGAACACTAAAAGCTCATAAACGTTGAAACCCATGCACTGAAAGCTAAAAGTCATCCATAAACCGTTGAAACTGCTTAGGTTTTTGGATGAGCCATCACAAAATTGAGAACTCACTTGGTGGAAATTAACATCAGCGCAATATTTCTTTGGGGGAACGTTATCTTTGATAATATAAATGTTATTGGAATGTAAATAAATATCTTCTCAAAAATTATTATTTCAGTTTCAATTAGTTGTGAATTGTTTGTGATGCATATTTTATGTGTGCCCTTATATTAAATTATAAATAATAAATGTATGAATGAATGAATTCGTTCACTTCATAAATTCAATGAATTCATAAATTTCGATTATTTTAAATGCCAACAAGTCCTCGCATGACTAGTTATGTTGAAGGCTAGATCATCAGATGATAAGTGCTCGATGCAGAGTTCATTTTTCAGATAAACTTCGGAAGAACAGACGAATACTTTGTTTTAGAGTGATTTTGATTCCAATTCAGGATGGGAGCTTCTTCGTATTTGGTGTAATAGATCGGTGACTTGGAATACCACGAAATGAATTTATTGCAATGGCGTTCAACGAGCTAAACGCACCGGAACAAGAAATTCAATAGTTCGACAATCGTAAAGAACAATGAAACGGATGAATAAACGCGAATACAATTAATCACTATTCGTCCTTTGAGTAACCGAGACAAAGTTCAAAAAATTTTAAATATTTCCAATAAATTAAGTCGTTCAAAATTATTTGCAGCACAGATATAGTTAATTTTAAAATTATGCGAATTATTGGTTAAAAAATAATGTTAAGGATTAAGAGAATGACAATAATGATTACGGAAATAATAACACCATCATATACATATCAACAAGAACATTCATCATTAGTGATTTCACGTTAACTGGATTTATCGCGATTTTGGGAACGCGATTAGTCTCGAAAATTGCCTTCATAATTCTATTTTTTCTTTCACTTTTCTTCCACAATTTTCTTTGATCTCTTAGATTGTTTGGTTGCGATGAAAAGAAACAACAAAACAAACACAGTTATATCACAATTCATCTTCTAATCTGTTTTCGTTTGGTTTCACTATCGGATTGACAAGGAAGGCAATTTCAAAAAGGTGTCATAACATGACATTCAATTTCAATGAAGAATTCACTCGATTTTACACAAGGATGGATATACATCCTTCATAGAGAACATTTGTTATTGATAACAAAACGGGTA